CATATCAAGCATGTCATCAAGCCTAGGAATTGGGAACCTATACTTGATAGTAATCTTGTTGATTGCTCTACTATCAACACACATACGCCAAGAACCATCTTTCTTTGGAGTGAGAAGAGTTGGAACAACACATGGACTAAGGCTTTCTCTCATAAAACCTTTCTTTAGGAGGTCATCAACTTGTCGTTTAAGTTCAGCCTGCTGTATAGGATTCATACAATAAACTGATAAGTTGGGCAATTGTGACCCTGGCTGCAAGTCAATAGCATGTTGAATGTCTCTCATGGGAAGTAACTCATTAGGTGGCTCTTTTGGTGCCAAATCTGAAAACTCATCCAACACTTGGACCACTTCTTTAGGCATTTTAGTAAGTGGAACAACATCTGGTTGCTTTACCTCCTTGGATATTACAATATATACAACTCCTGCCTCCTTGCTTTCTACTTCAAACTCTTTTTAGGAGAGCAAATGCAATGATTTTTTCTTAGATTCAGCAACAGGCTCTTGGGCTGTAGTCTCCTTTTGAGGTGGCTTGGCATGCATTTTTAATAACTTCCGGTGGCATTGGCTTCATGATAACTTGCTTCCCATTAAATAGGAAATGAAAGTGTTCTCCCTTCCACAATGGTAGAGGGATCATACAACCAAGGCCTTCCAAGCAATATGTGTGTAACATTCATGGGAACAATGTCTCACCAAATAGAATCAGAATACCATAAGAAATAGTAACAAGGGCTCATTTAGTTACCGGAATTGTTGTCTTATCAACCCAACGAATCTTGTATGGTTGTGGTGTTAACTTTAGCCAATCCATAGTGCCTTCAGAAATTACATTCATACTACTGCCACCATCTATGATAAGCTTACAATACTTGTCTCCACTCTTTACTATAGTTTGAAATATTGTTGTACGAAGCCAATCTTCCTTGATTTCCTCATTTGGGGATGCAAGAATACGCCGAACTACACCAACATTGTTGTTGTCTTCATCTAAAGCATCATCATCAATGAAGGAAAAATCCTCTTCTTTAGCTAAGTCATCATCTGGGTCACCTACCGCTTCAATGCCTTCCTCATAAATGATATTAAGGCTTTTGGTAGGACATCGGTAAGCCATATGGCCCTTTCCTCCACATCTAAAGCAACTAGTATTAGCCTTTTTTTTTCTAAGTAACACCACTGGCCTAGAAGTCTTTACCCCATCAGCTTGCTTACAAGTTGCATACTCCCCAGCTTGTGATACAACAAATTGCCTTGTATTTGTTTGCTTTAAACTCTTCTCAATTTTGATAGCAACTTGGTAGGCATCCTCTAAGTCAAAGACTCGAGCAGTTATCATCTCTTTTTTTTTTATCAATAACAATGAATTTTATTAATAAGATGGAAAAGCTGAATTACAAAGAAGGAGCTAAAAAATCTTAACTCCCAAATACCCTATAAACTCGAATTCATGAAACAATTACAAAACAGCCCAAAACATTGAGCTTCTGTTCACCCCTTGCCTAGCTAGACCATCTACCAGTGCATTAGCGCTTCTCGCTATCCATGTACAACAGATTTCAATATCCTTGGTGAGCCACTTGAATTTCCTCTTTTCATTGTTGTATTTCCAGAGCGAAGAGTTGTCCTCTTTTAGCCAATTTGCTACAATTTCTGAATCACCTTCTATGATCAATTTTTAAAATTCGTTTCCTTGGCCCTCTGAATCCCTTCAAGAGCTCCTAGGATCTCAGCCCTTAAGGAATCTCCCACCCCAATTGGGCCAGAGTACATAGCTAACAGGTTCCCATTTTCATCCCGTATGACTCCCCCAACTCCGAAGGGCCTTGGATTACCCATGCTACTGCCATCAAAATTCAATTTGGTAAACCCCTGAGGTGGTGTCTAGTAGGAATTTGAGGTTTTCTTGATTGAGCCTAACTCCGCAATCTCCTTCCACTTTCTGACCATCTCATCAACTGAGAACACTGCAAACAACTCCAAGGTTTTTAACTAGTGAATCACCCTAATGTGGATAGCTTTCGGGATTACTTCCAAGCTTCTCTCCTTATCAGAAAATACCCTTAAAATTTCTCTCCTCACAGATAGTCCAGCACATTACAGCTCTACCACATCTCCACATGATCTTGGCCCTTTTGGTTAACCAGTTGGGCATGGAAGTAAATAAGCTTTGCACATCCGAAGGGGGAGTCCACCTGCAACCAAACAAAGAAGTAAACCATTCCCAAATGACTTTAACAAACTGGCAAGAAATTAAAAAGTGATATCCAGACTCACCATCAGATTTACAAAGAACACACCAATGAGGAGACAAGCAACTATTGGGCCTTTTTCTTTGAAGTAGATCCCCTATATTAACTCTTTCCATAAAGGCTTCCCAACAGAAGCACCCAACCTTTGGAGGAATAGGTCGTCACCACACTTAGTTAACAGAAAAAGACAGTCCAACAAGAGAGGGGGATAAAAGGGCTTTGAAGAAAGAGGCACAGGAATAGGAACCCGAGGGAGTGAGTGTCCAAATTCTACTATCTGACTTCGATGGCTCAATGAAGACCCCATCAAGAATGGATAATAAGGCTGAAATGCATGCTAACTCTATGTCCTTGACATCTCTTCTCAAGTTCAAATTCCAACCAAACCCAGAAGGTGAATTAGAAAGAACAAGAAAGGAGGAAATTGGCTCATTTTTAAGGGTAGAGATAGCAAAGAGGCCTGGAAATTGATCTTTCAAAGAGGAGTTCACAACCCACACATGTTCCCAAAATTTAATGAGGTTACCTGAGTGTAAGTCATACCTGACCCATGGATAGAACAAGGGCAAGATGGCTTGAATAGCTTTCCAAGGAGAAGCTCTTGTAGTCCTTGCTAAGATCCCAGAGTCCCATCCATTGCCTGCCAGCCCATGTATACTTCCCACTATCTTAACCCACAGTCTTTCTTTCTCCAATGAGAATCTCCACAGCCATTTCCCCAACAGTGCTAAATTCCTAACCCTTATATTCCAAATTCCCAAACCCCCATCCTTCTTACATCCACATACCACTACCCATCTGACCCTATGATCCTTCTTCTCCACTCCTGATTCCCAAAGAAAGTCTCTCATTAGTAGCAGTTACCATCTCTTTCTTGATTTCAGCCCTTAGTCCATTCTTGAACTGAGCCAACTTTTACCTCTCACTTTCAATAGTATCACATCTGATAGATAATTCATCAAATTTACGCATGTATTCAACTACAGATAACGTACCTTGCTTGAAATTAGTCAATTCCTCATTTAACTCATCTTAGAAGTCCATTTGGAGGTACTTGTCCCTCAAATGTTTCTTCATTTCTGACCATGTAGAAATAGGACCATCACCTCTATTCTCCAATCGTCGCTCCATGCTTCTCCACCATTCTTTAGCACGACCACCAAGTTTCATACGTGCAAATCTGATCCTTCGATCATCAGTCATGTTATACCAGTCAAAATATTCCTCTAGTGCAGCCAACCAATCTGAAAAAGATTGAGGATCTAAATCTCCATTGAAATTAGAAACATCCACCTTATATCATCTACATAACCACCATGTTCAGCTTGTTCCATCATCTCATCAAATAGATCTGTGAGTAATGCTTCTTGATCAATCCTTTGATGAGTATTTCGGGCTCGATTAGCTTGTGTAGGTGGTACCCTTGTGCAGTTTGCAGCTCTGTGTCGTCCTCTAAGATTAGCAAATCCTTCATCTTCACCATTATCTTTTTTTTATCACTTTCATCTTCATGGACAGCTCCGTTGTTTTGTCCTCCATCCCTTTCGTTGATTAGGGGTGCTTCTTGTTGGATTTCTTCTTCTTTAGCTTCTTGAAGTTCTTTTACTTGTGCTTCAAGGGTTTCAACTCTCTTACAAAGGGTAGAAATCAATGAATCTCTTTGTGTATCAGTCAGCCAACCCCTGTACTGCTTGCCACTACATGTAGCCATGATAATAACAGCCTATAACCTTAGTTCTGATACCAATTGATGTAGGACCATCTCAGTTTTAGTCCTTAGAGAATGTTGAATGGTCTTCTTGATCAGATTTTTAAGGTTGTTGATGGCTGTAATGGCTTCTTGAAGGAATAAGATATAAAATAAGGAGAGAAAGAAGAGAGAAAATACCTAGAATCACTCACAAGGTGCCTAGAATCACTCTAGGGCATAGGAATCACTCACCATAGCTAGCATAAGTTGAAGAAAACTCAATAAACTTCATTTCCTTTGTGTAAAACATCCATACATATTTATAGACTCTAAACTCATAATAATCCTAGGAGTCAAACTATTAGACTCATAATAGTCTTAGCAGTCAAACTATTAGACTCAATACTCCTAGTAGGACTCAAACTAAGTTGTCATGTCCTATTTCAATTCAAAGAAGACTCAATAACTCTAATCCTACTTATGCAATGACTCTGAAATTTTAAATATAAACAAACTATTACCAGACGATAAAACCCTATCATTGGACCCTACAGAAAATTATAAAATGGAAAAAATACCCTTGGTGTTCAGTTCAATCCAAATCCCAAGTACCATCACTATGCCATATCAGGACCTGTTGTAAGAGGCCTTCTTCTTTCTAGAATAAGTCTTCAAGGGTGCTGATCGATTCCTATCAAGCACAACCTAACCATGTATAGGTAAAACATGTACTGCAAGAGGATCAAGAGGGTCACCCCCATCCTCATTTTGTTCCTCTTGGATGACAATCCTTTATCCACCAAAAAAATCAAACCTTTAAAGAAGGGAAACATCTACATTTATGAAATAGAGATTTTAACAAATAAACAAGACAAATACAAGGAAAAATATCAAATTCAACCTTACATCAAGTGAAGAAACAGATGAAAGACAAAAAAAATCAACATCAAAAAAGTGGCATTGAGTAAGACCACATTATCAAAAGTAAAAAACCAAAGAAGTGAAATTGGTAAATACCGATTGGAATGGATGAAGTAAGCTACTGTACACAAGATTACCTGGCAATGGATTGTAATAACCTAAGACTTCCAAATGTTTCCCATCTCTAGGAGACCTACTATCAGCAGCCATAATTCGATAAAATGGCTTGTTTTTGCATCCAAACCTTGATAACCGAAGTCTAACAACCATTTTAGATATTGATTTCTTTCTTCTTTATCCACTTCACCAAATGCTTTGATATATCTGGAAATCAATAAAAATTAAAAAAAAAATACAGGAACTTTTAGCATACCATTTGAGATAAGCCTGAACCATTTTTAATTAACTATTGACCTCAAACCAAAGTAATAAAACAATAAAACTATGTTTCTCATCAAATGCAAAACATCTTGCAAGGGGTTTTATAATCTAACAATCATGCCATATTAGATTCCTCCAAGACAAAATACCCTTAAAATGTGTTAAATAATGAAAATAGAAGAATGAACTATGCATATTACCCAGGTTTAAAAATGGCACATATCTATTACAAGGTGTCCATGCAACACAAGCATAGTTTTCAAGCGCCAAGGCAAGGCTAGGCAACAGGGGAGCACCTAGGCATCGCCTAGGCAATGGATTTTTTAAGTAAAAACCACATATCCTAGGGTAGTTCCCTAGGTTCCATAACCATCTTTCCTTAATAACTATCCATAATTTTCATAAGAAAATTATAAGCTTCCTGTTTAAGTCTAGAAAATCAACATATGTATGAGAAGAAAAAGAAGAAACAAAAGAAAATTCAAAAAAATATAGGGGTTGAACCCCTGTTTTTGTTATAGGAAAAGAATAAAGGAAAAGGTGGAAGAAGAAGAAGAAGATGTGGAAGAAGAAATGTGTTGATTAGACAAAATTTTAAGTTATTCCCTTACTTATTGGTTCAGATTTTGAAGTCTTTGAGGGTTCAATACAGCAGTTAGCAATGTTTGTGTTGATTAAACCCTAGCAAATAAGAAAATAATAAAAAGAATTTAGTTTATAAACACAAAAAATGAATATCTTTGTTTAATAATGTCTATTTTATAATTATAATCTCAAAAAAATAATATAAAAGTATTTTATAAGACAGTATACAAAACTGCTTGGCAACTAGGCAAGGCGAGCCTCCAAGGGCGCCTTGTCGCCTAGGCATTGCCTTGACAACTATGAACACAAGGTGATGCAGGAGCAAAAGAGTCAATATTTGAATTTTTCAGGTTTTTTATGTATATCTGTATTTTTGGACAGTGGGAGAATTTTGGTCATTTTAGCATGTGTTTGTTAGGTCCAGCCTATTAGTTTGATTTGTCTAGTCATAGTTTAATTATTTAAGTTTTCAAAATGATCGGTTTAATAGTTATTTTCTTTAAATTGGTTTATGAATGGCAGAATTGTACTTTTGAGGTTTCCTAGTTTAGAAAGTAGTTTGGCCAACCCTAGATAGCCTACGTGTGTGTGTGTGTGCGTCTCTGTGTAAAGCCTAGAAATCATTCTTAGGGTTCCCAGATGGTCTCAAAGTTTAAGTTCAGACACTTATAGCAATCAAATAGCTGTGAAATGGCAATCAGAAACCATCATTCAATATCATTAAAGGACTGAGCTTGATCCCAGGTAAGTCTCCACTCCATTCCTTACCAAACCTTGATAAAAACCACATTTTAGCCACACCCCTCCCCCCCTATATCTAATGTTCTTTTTTATCCCCTTAAAACAGTTTTCAAAAATTCCCTCCAAAATCCTAGTTCCCAAAAAGTTTCTAATTTTGAGAACCCCCATCTTTTTGTGCCAGACGTTCTCAAAACCCTTCCAAATTCAACTCCCTTCTTTGTTTCACTTACATAAACCTTCTTCTGAAACAACCTAAAAAAATTATATTCCAATCTTGAGATATTGCTTGTTTTTTTGTTTACTCTCTCTAGAAGTTTCTGCATATCTAATCACATCATACAGCCATATTACCCTAAATAAAGTAAGAACCTAACTCTAGCCCCTTGACCCCGAACCTTGGACCTAACCCTTTACCATTATAATTTACTTTCCAGTTTCCCATAAATCTGTTACCAGTCCAGCCTTAGATCACATCAGTCCTACATCACAAGGTGCATTTGAATCATTTCAATTGGAATTCATGGGCAAACCCGGATGCATGGGTATTGGAAAGCTTACAATAGAACTCTTTTAGTATAAAAAGTTAATTGTCAAAATGATAAACAAGATTATCGGAGTCCACACACGAATCATGGTTGTCAATGAACATAGGCAAGGATAGGAGCACTTTGTTGCCAGTTAAGTACCTGCCTAGGCATCACCTAAACAATGAAAATAAGAAAAAAACTGAAATCCCTATATTATTTTCCTAGTTGGAGTAACATGCACCATGTTCAAAAAAAATATATATATCACTAATTTCATTAAATATGCATTAAATCTAACCAAGCACACCAAATCCTTTTTTTTTTTTGATAATTACACCAAATCCAATTATTAAGGTATTAGTAACTCTGAATTTGGATTTCACACCAAGGTATATTGTTAACATGTACCTTGGATAAAACTCTGAACTTGACAACTATGCACATGAATTCTAATCTTACTATTTGGATAAAACTGTGAAGTTGGATTTCACACCAAGGCATTATTAATATATACAACTTATGCAGGTCATATTACTTACTCATGGAATGTCAAATCCATGAGCTTATTATCCAAATGGGCCAGTAGGTCCAAGGGTATTAAATTAGTCATATTCCAACATTTGATAAGTATAACTCATAGGCAGACAATACAACTGATTCAACAGCCCAATGGAGTTGAGACTGACAGTGTAAAAAAGCTTAATGCAAGTTGTCAAACAACCCCGATCAAGTGGTCAATCAGTCCAAATTCTGACCACAAATAGAAACCAAACTGCTCAATTCCTGCAATCAAAAAGTCAAAAGTCAGGCTGCCATGCAACTAAAATTTAAGCTGCCACATGATACAGGTGCATAGGGGTGCCTGTCCTTTCAAAACATCACTTTTGATATGGTAACTAGGGATGTGCTCCCTCCTTTTATAAAAATAAGACATGCTTTAATCACAACTCTTTTTTTCTCTTGAAAAACTGGGATATGGCACTGAAAAGAACAGGATTCATGTAGCCAACCCTATACAGTTAGGACAAGGCTTAGTTGAAATGAGCTGAGTTGGGAGTTGACATCAACTAATGAAAATAAAATCAGGGGAATTGATCAAACAAATTGAAGCTTTACTTAACTTGGCCATTACCAACAAGGCATCATTGCGTTTGCGGTTCCAACTACCTTAGTTTAACATGGGGTTTGGTAGAACAATTATAAGAAATGCAGGAGAGTGTTTATAAGCAAAACTTTGTTTGTAACTGATTTTCTTTGGGTAAGTAAAAATATTTTAAGAAAAAGTATTCAATTCAACTCAAGTAAAAGAACCCCATCATCATCCAAACCTTGTCCCAAGACTCCCAACCATATAGGGTTGGCTACATGAATCCTGTCTTGCCATTCCATTCTGTTCAAATGCCATATCTATTGTTAAATTATGAGCCCTTAAGTCATTTACACTACTTCAACTCATGTCCTTTTTTGGTCTACCCTAGCTCTTCAAAAGAACTTTTAACAGATCACATCTTACAAGTTCTGAAGATTATCCCAGTTATATGAGGCTAGTTACACAAAACCTGTTTGACTATTCCACTCAATGAATGGCATGCTCTAAGAAAAATCAGTTTCGAAAAATTTGTAAAGTAAAACTCATACAAGAAACAAAAAGGTATGATTACAACAAGCAAAATAAATTCCAATTTTCTTACTGATATCTTGTCCTTTTGTTGTAGCTTTATGGAATTGGATTTTTGGCTTGTTTGAATGTAGGTTGAACCTGCCATCCGATGTAATTGTTGTTTAATCCTTCTTATTTCAGGTGGCGCACACAAAGAGGGAGAATTATGTGGAAATGTATCAGAGCAGCTCTTGTGTGGACTATTTGGGAAGAAAGGAATGCTAGAATATTACTATAAAAGGAAAGGAATCTCCCTAAAGTGCAGGATTGCATATTGACAAGGGCAATCCATTGGCTGAAAACTTCATACTTCTTTGTTGATTTTTCCTTTGATGATATTCGGAGGAATTGGCTAACAGTTGCTAATACTTCTTCTAGGAGGCTTAGAAGAGTGGTAGAATGGACACCTCCTTCAGAGGGTATCATTAAGCTGAACTTTGATGGGAGTAGTCAGGGTAATCCAGGACCTTCGGGTATAGGAGGGGTCCTAAGAAATAAGGATAGCAACATTATTTCCTTATATTCAGGACCAGTGAGAGTGGTGACTCCACGAGAGCAGAGATACTAGCTGCTGTACAAGGGATTCAGATTGCTAACCAGATTGGGGTGGAGCATCTTTTAATTGAAGGTGACTCACAGGTGGTGGTGGGATGGCTCCTGAACCCAGATTCTGTCATGTGGAGTTATAGAGACCTCCTTAAAAGTGAATTGGCTGACTAGCAACATGACTGTTAGTGTCCAATGGGTGAGCAGATCAGCAAATGCTATAGCTGATTCACTAGCCAAACAAGGGGTTCCTCAGACAGTCTGTTTTGGACTACCTTGTAACTTTTTCAAAATATTTTTAAGAATCTTCTTTTGGCTTTTCTGAATACGTCACACCTCGTGCCTCTTCTTGGGTCACTTGTATCTCTTATGTTCTGTGATTAATAAATTTCTTCATTTATCAAAAAATAAATAAATTCCAATATTTTTGGTTACTCCGGATCAACCATGTTTCTCATAACTTGTCTAATCAAGAGATAAATCAAGTCACCAAGCTTAGAAAATCCTTATTAGTCATCATAAGCAGAACTTCAAATGTTCTGAAGGAATCCATACAAATTTACATTCTAAGAAAACAGAACTAGAATTCTTTCAGCAGCTCCAACTAATGATCATAAATGCCATTGAAAGAAATATAAAAGCATCTACACTCAGAAAGTTGATCATTGCTTCACTAATTGGCTGTTACATGTGAAACTACATAGTTATTTGACATGTTCAATTATAGCATAAAATTTCTATCTAAATTCTAGAGTTGTTTGTTTTTCCACCATTTTTGTGTCAACTATAATCTAGAATGGGTGGATATAGAAATCAGCAAGCTAGGTTTAGTGGAGTTGTGAACTGCTGTATTTAGTCATGGAAGTGAACTAATGTAAGGTCCATTAATATCTCATGTCAATGTAGTGTTGTTAGGCAATGTTGTGTTCAACACCTAACAGAGATACTAGTCCTTTCACATGATGCAACCTCGGACAAAACAATCACACCGGAGAAGAGGGGGGCGGGGAACCACAAGAGCAAACCCCTCTATAGTCATTAACAACGACATGGTATATATCGTCAAATGTGTTTCTTGGCTTAAGGCCAAAATTTAGAACCACCCAAACTAATTGTGGAATTGATCAGGAAAGAGAGTGAGATAGAGGTGAATTATAGTTAGAAGCTGGAATGAAGCAGCCTTCAAGCAGGAGAAGAAACAAAATAAATCTTTGTTCAGCACCGACCGTCTGATACCACCAACCCCTCCCGAACCGACGCCTATGTGGTTTCAGGGGGACAGCCACAAAGGAATAAGAGAACCCTTTTCTATATCAGAACTACTTGACCACTGGCAATTGCCGGGGTTGAGTCGCCGGACAAGAAAAATAAGAAGATGGTGAAGATGACAATGATGGCGAACATGAAGAAACTGCAGCTGGGGATAAATGGAAACTCACCTTGCGTGTTTCTCCGTCACCGGAATCCGCCGTCGTGGCCAGCCGCAGCCAAAAGAAGTGCCAGTGCGGGAAGAGTGGGAATGAAACGGGTTTTAAGTGAGGCTTGACCATCCCGGATCGGACTTTGCAAGGGTTATCCTAACCTCGATCAAACCCGACTGCTTGACAGCCCCCTTGGTTTTGAAATCCGACAAATTAGACTACCATTTTGCCAATTGGATTGTCATGTGGTAAAAATCAGCAAATGTCGGAAGGAAAATGTTAATCGGTCCAAGTCTGATTCGGGTTCGGGTTACGGTGGATAGGTACTAGACCGATTTAATCGGTTCTACTTATATCCAAAATCGAACCAAATATTAATCGGGTTTGACCCAATTAACCCGATTATACCTATTTTGTGACTACCCATTAAATAGTAAACCACAATTATATACCGCCTATGAAATTCACCTTTTAAACATAAATAATATAACAAAAATGACAAGAAAATTGGGAGACGCTCTATATTATTAACTATCTAATCGGTTCAAGTTTTATGATCCGAATTAGGGGTGTCAATGGACCGAATTTAGATTGGACATGTCTGAATCAAAATCAATTTAAACAGATTGAACGAATCAGTAGGACATTAATTGGATCAGTCCAAATTAAATAGTCAAAAGTATTTATTGGATTGGATTGCATTTATATTAGACTGTGCTGAATTAAACCAATATCTGGTCCATTGATATAAGAGTACAAGTATTAATGAACCAGGTTTAGGTTGGAGCCCATCTAAATCAAAACTAAATTAAACAGTTTGGACAGTTTAGACATTGAATTGGACCAGTCCAGAATATTTTAAAGCATTCATTGGATTGGATTGGACCAGATTCATCCATAATGGACTCATATTTGATCGGATTAGATTGGACCAATATCCATTCCATTAACAGTCCTAATTCACGCAGTACAAGCCAGTCCCAACCCAATTATTAATTAGGACAAATATCAGTGCAGTCACATTACCATAACCAATATAATCAGTTTGGTCGGTTCGGTTCTATTAAGTAGACCGGATCAATAGATAGCTCTAACCAGCACTCCTATAAAATTCTAAAGTTTACTAATAAGTGAATAATGCACATAGAAACCATTTTATGTATGAAATCATTCTAATACTGGATTTTTTTTTTTTTGTCAATCAAGACAGCATCATTGTCTCCCTGGATCAGCTTATCCATGATTATATTCTTTATTTCCTCTTGATTGTTAATCTTATCCCATTACTCATTGTTAGAGGCAACACAATGGCAATGGTATACTCAATCAAGACAGCATCTTTGTCTTTTTGGACGGTCAAACCATTTGACACAGGAGCTGGTAGTCAAAGTGGTTCCATTTCCGAATCAGTTTTTAAAACCATGGTTATAAATTTTATGCACATAGGTACCATACACTTGAGCAAAAGTGCCCCTTGAATATTAGAAACCCGTCATTTATATTTTTCCCAAACATCCATTACAAAACTTATGAGTTGTTTGTTTGTTAAGAACTTGTTTACCCGGTTGGATAGATGCATTTACCTATGATTTTTCCACGGAAAATGACAGCTAGGCAAATGAGACAATTTCTCCAAAGATCCTTAACTTTTATGTACTGACAGGAGTATTTTAGTTCCACAATAATTTGTACACTTTTCCTCTTCCATGGGTAAAATGATTTACCCACCTCGGAGAAGGGCAAAACTTACCTAATAAAGTGGTCCAAACATTTATCAAAGAAAGCATTTTTCATGGGCTTTATACTTCTTTCCTGACAAAAAGAATGCAAAGAAGTTGATCAAATTCCATGTTGACCCCCCCCCCCAACTTACTAGCAAATGAATGGGCCCTTAATGTAAAAAGTATCCTTTAAAGTTACATTTGCTTAAACCAAATATGATTTTCATATATTGAAGTTATTGCATGCATATATGGCATTTAAGTGGAGTAACACTGCCTATAATAAGTTATTGTGAAGTGTTTCATGTGCCAAAGCATCTCACTTTCCCCATTCCTATGTTGCTATTTAATTTGAGATGTTAGTAACTTAAAACACCATGTAACCTGAGTCACCTCACTTATATGTAGTGGGATGGAAAGTGATAAAAGGTTTCTTATAAGTTATAACTATCTCAAGTAGTTTTTGTTGGATCATACTTGAAAGAGACACTTTAGCTATAATCCAGATCATGTTGGAGGAAGTTGTTTCTTTTCATCACAAATTTGCCAAGTCATTGTATGGGAGATACCATTAATGATTTCGGTCATTCTTTGTCTTGTTGTTTTATTATACGAGTAAACGTGCACATGCTTTGCACTTTACAACTTTTTATAATGATGGTAATATTAAATAATATGTTTTCAACATTTTTTTATTTTTTTATATTTCTATAATTATAAGAATTATTCTTATTTGTTACACTTATTTTGTTTAATATGATGAATATACGGTATTAGAAATGTGCTCAAGTGCTTTTACATTTTTTTTTGTATGCCATACATTTGTGTTTTTTATTCTTTTTAATTATTATTATTATTATTATTATTATTATTATTATTATTATTATTATTATTATTATTATTATTATTATTATTATTATTATTATTATTATTATTATNTTATTATTATTATTATTATTATTATTATTATTATTATTATTATTATTATTATTATTATTATTATTATTATTATTATTATTATTATTACAACTACTACTACTATTATTATTATTATTTAACGTGTCATTAAATGTTTACACATTTGCCCAAAAGGTTTAATTGTTGACTCCCTGCCAAATAGAAAAATAACTCTTTGGGGGTTAGTTTTAAAATTATATTTTATTTCTATCATCAATAAAAACAACTATTATTTATCACACTTATTTTACCCTATTATGGTTAATTAATATAGGAATATAAGTTAATACCTTAAAATATAAGAACATGAATGAGAATTGAATGAAGATGAATGTAGTAGTTTAAATTACATTTTATACCCTCACAATTAAAGAGGGACAAAATTAAAAGATTGGGGTATTCTAGTCAATAATAGGATTCAATGAACGTTAACAAAAGTTAATACCTTAAATACAATACATAACGAGAGGGATTTGAATGAGGAGAAAAGTGATTGTTCAAACTATATTTCTATTATTACAATTAGAAGGGACAAATTTAAAACTTTAGATGTTTTAGTCAAACAAAAGTTTCACACTCTCATTCACACCTTTAATTAATGGTAATATAGATTATGAGTTGGATATAGCATCTTTAATAGATGTGATACTTCCAAATATCCGAGATTGATCGGTTTTGAGGAAACAAGTTGGTGTGAAGAGTCGTTCAAAATTCCATAAATATTGTTTTAGATTACGGATCAAGAGTCGTTCACTATTATAAGAAACGTAAAGGTAGTATTACCAACATTTGAGATGCCTTACTTTACCAATATCCAGATCCAATATAAGTTTGTCCATCATTGATGTATTTTATGATATTGAGGGACTAATTGAGAAATTGAATATAATGATCCCATTGACCAATGTTTTCAAAACTGGACCCGATCAGACGGTCGGATCAGGGGGGAAAGGAATTGGTCACCTGGCTGGTTCCGTTTTACCCCATAACTGTCTTTTGGCCAAAAAACTGTTGATTTGATTAACAAACCGTTGACCCGGGCAGCCAAACCGTTTGAACCGTATAGTGGTTTTTTGTCATTTATTATTGTTATTTTTTTTGTCAGAACGGGCCATTCATTCAGTTTGAACGATTGGATCATTTGACCCAAGAACCAGATCCCTGAACAGTTCGTTTTTAACAACCTTGCCATTGATGCTCATCAATCCCCTCATGCAAGGCATGGGCCCATTGATGCTCAAATTGGGGAAAAAAAACATGGACAAAACCACCACTTGAGGTCTCCCTACTTTAAGATATAACTGCCCAAATTGAGCCCAATGTTCAAAGAACCAAGCCTAACATAGAATCTTAAAATGGAAAGTTTCAGTGGTTAGAAGTTCAACCATAATCAATGGAAGGTCAAACCATGATGACATGACATACATATATATTTTTCATGTCATGTAAACACTATATATAATATATTTTACAGATAATATAATATTTGAATGTAGCGGATATATGCTAGTTCCTTAGTTTACAAGGTAGATAACTAGGTTCAAGCCTATCCACTTACATTTCCTTTAAAATACATGTGGATTAAAACAATATATGCATTAAGGAGGCATAAACATATATAGTGAAATGGATTAATAGTAACAAGGCAATGTACATATGTAGTGAAATGGATTAATTCTCTAGTTCTTTGGTTAACATCAGTCTAATCAGCCATCCATTTCAATTTTATAAACAATGCTTGAGGTGGAAGAAGAACCACCTAGACTATTAAAAATATACACAAAACCATGCTAGAGTTCTCTCTTGGACCATCACTAGTGTACAAGGATTTTATTAAGCGATTCCCATAGAACCCACTGTCACCCGTCCAAGGATTCATTCATAGTGGAAAAAACAAAGAGAGGATTGGTTTCAGTTAAACTAGTTGAAGAGAACAAACTTAGGGCATGTTCGTTTCCTCTTAACTTTTATCTCTTAATAGGAATATTTTTATTTTAAAAGAAAAACAGTTGTTCATTTCCTCTTATCTCTTACTTTTTAAAGTGTATCATATAACTTTTTGTTTTTCAATGATACCTCCAAAAAGACAAACAAAAATTTTCATATATGAGGTCAAAATGGATATTTGATAATTTTCAAAATTCAGAATTCAGAATTTAGAACAACATTCTCTGCATTTAGAGTCCAGAGAAAATAAAAGTTCATCAATACCAATATACCTCTTAGTGTAATTATTGTACTTTCGGATGTCAGATTTCAGAGCAAACGAACATGCCATTAGAGGTGAGAGTACTCCTTCGCATCTCTCCCTACCTACCTCCCTCTCTCCCCCCCCCCCTCTCTCTCTAATTGTCTCTTCTTGCCACGTTTGCACACGTTAACAAGTGCAAAATTTGCATCCCAAAAACAAATGCAAAATTTACACCACCTTCATCCTAGCTCAATTCTTTCTTCATATAAAGTGGGGACCACATCATGCATCTTATCTTAGTCGTAGACAATAACCTTCCACTTGACCCCATTCCTTTTTCATTTAAAGTGGAGGTTACTTTATTTTAGGGAAAATTCCCACCTTGTACTTTGGGCCTAGTGCCACTTCGGTCCCCAAACTTTAAAATGTGACAATTCAGTCAGTACCTAAACTTTCAAAATGTGCCAAATCCATTACCTACCGTTAACTAACTGTTAAGTGGCATTTGAAAAGACACAAATGCCCTTCAAGTGTCATCTAATTTTCTTTATCAACCATCCAAACATTGATAAAAAAATGAACAATCACAAATCCTTGCCTCTTCTATTCAAGAAAGTTGGGGTCACGTCTTTGAAAGTTTAGGTATTAACTAAATTGACACGTTTTAAAGTTCGGGGACCAAAGTGGCACTAGGCCCAAAGTACAGGGTACTAATCAGAAATTATAAAACCCTCCCATAGGTTTGTACCACAATCACACACAAATAAAAAAGAAGGGTAAATTATAAAACCCTCTCCTAGGTTTTATAATGATCCTATAAATTTCTCCTACAATTCTGACCCTTAAAATTGTACCACAACCACACACACTAGTAATAATTAATAAAAAGGGGTGAATTATAAAACCGTCCCCTATGTTTATAACGATCCTATAAACTTCTCCTACGTTTTAACTTTGAAAAACTCCCTATAACTTTACAAAGATGCAAATATAACCCTTCCATTAACTTCATGAATGGAATTATGAAAAATGCTGATGTAATGCATTAGTTTTCTTTAAATACTATATTTATTCTTTACTAAATTCATTTTGATGTCCCTTTACTAAAATGAACCAAAAGAATATATGGTGACTCAATCTGTAGGTTCTTTGGCTCTTTGTAGTGAAGATCAAGGCAGTGTTTGGCATCGATGTCGTTTTCTAATAAAACGGTGCCACATAGGCACCATGTCAGAAAAAAGCGATGTTTTCAGAAAACCACCTCTTTATTTGGTAATGTTGTTATAGAAAAAAAACATTGTTCCAAACCATGCATTGAAAATCGGGAAAGTGTGGTATGAAGAAACACCAAATTCAATGTTTTCTCAGAAAATAACCCATTGCTGCCAGTGGTATAATGATGTGACATCATCTTGAATATTGGATAATATAGATCAGTGATGAAAACAGTTTTACAGCATTTGTACCAAACAAAACCAGAAAAATAAGGAAAAATGGTGAGCTCATTACATCTATTGTAGACCCATGAAATGAAAAAAAAAACCAAAGAAGTAGATACACTTTTCATTCACTCAGCCTTTTTACCTTACTCTATTCGATGAAAAGAGTAGAGGGAGAACTGTCAAATAAAGTAGTGAAGGGTAGCTTGAAAACTTAAATTTGTAAGAGTTCAAATCAGCTCCCCACAAGAATGTGCCCCACAACGTCCCACAACACATCCCGACTGTATATTGAGAACATCTCCCGATAATGGCTCATCATTTCATATACTATCATCGGGAGATGTTTCCAAAAAATGGTGGGGATGTGTTGTGGGTTATTGTGGGGGCCTTATGGGAAGTTGTGAACTCATTTTGTTTTTTTTTTTTTTTTTTTGATAAATAGATGTGATCCCAATTTGTTAATAATGCCCTAATGATGATAAGGGCATTTTGATTACTTTAAGCCTAAAAAACCAATAGAAGTGAGGTATTTGCATGATGCATCTTTCTCAAAATTAAATGGAGAGTTTTTGTTATGATCAAAACATAATGGAGGTCTATAAGATTGTAATAAGGCCAAGGGGAGGTTTTTATAATATTCCAAAAAGAAAACGTAACAAATAGTTTGTTTGTTTGGACTACTATCCTACGTGTAAAACACCTATTGGGTGGTCAGCACAGGATTTTAACGGCAACGGTAAAGCTAGCAGAGTAGCCAACGCACTGTAATTTTTTATTTATTTCGGGTGTTTATTTGGGGAAATTGGGTACCCTCTTCTCATAACAGAGTGAACCAGTTTATTTCATTCCGGTCTCGGAGTCTCTTTCTATCTGATTCATGGCTGCCATGGAAGGAGTAATCGGAGCTCAGGCTCAGGATCCTTCTCAAGTTCAGCAGCAGCAACAACAGAAGGTGGAGAAGCTAAATGCGGCGGTGCAGCAGCAGCTCAACTTAGAATCCGTAAAGACTCGAGCCATCGGTCTCTTCAAGGCCATTTCTAGAATCCTCGAAGACATAGACGCCATTGCTCGCACCAATTCCGTCCCCAAATGGTACGATTTCATTCCCATCCTCGACCATTCGCGCCCTCGACCTCTTTGAAGAACTAACATATGATATTTTCAATTTGACTGGTCCCAGTTTAAATTTGTTAAACTACACTGCATAAAGAATTGGAGAATATGTTTTGGCATTGCAACTGTTCTTACAACTGAGCGTTTCTTGTGTGTGCCAATCCTACTAGCCTGAATCTTAGTTTTTTTTTTTTGTTTTTTTTGTTTTTCTGAATATTGCTGTATTCTGTTATTCTTCATTTGTCTGTGATTGGTTTGCTTCAATTTTCCACCTAGTATAGATTTATAGCTATTTTTTTGACAGTAAATAAAATTTCATAAGAAGAAATGGAAGAAAGATACAACCTCGGGTAATAAGGCATCACCGAGACATACCCAAATAATATAACTCCCAGCTCCAACAATACAGAAATTAACGAATTCCTCTCATTACGATCCATGACCCAGCAAAAACAAAGTAATCCCTTATTAACAAAGATCCATATCCACCTACGGCACATCCATAAAACCCATCACTCACTCTCATACAAAATTGCTAAATCATCCCAAAGCGTTTTCTATATACCACTCATACTTCCTCATTGCAACATCTTGGAAAACACCACTTAGTAACTTAAATAAATTCTACTCATTCTCCATTTCACCTGTAGAAGAATTCCAGCTCTATCAATTGGGTATGTGCGTAGAAGACCACCAATTGCGCCAGTTAGAAGAAGTGATTTGTTACACATTGAAGGGGCTAGAAGAACTCGGGGTAGACCAAAAAGAACATGGGTAGAAGTTGTAAGAAATGATTTAAGCACTAATAATTTAACAGTGGATATGGCAATTGAATGTATAAAAGGATTCATGTAGCCAATCCCATATAGTTGGTATAAGGCATGGATGATGATGATGTTTGGGCTTTGTAGAATCTGATTTAACTTATTTTCTTCCCATCTCTATTTCTTCATTGTAGAGAACACTGATGTGGTTCCCACTGCATTCGTATGACTCTAATTAGCAGTTAGTTATTTTCAGTTTGTTAGTTGGTAGTTTATTTCAATTATAGTTATTAGTTTTCTTTTATTATTTTGCCATGTAAGCATTAAGGGTAATTCAGCCCTTTTACTTTCATTTGAATATTAATATAAATTGTAAGAGTGGGGTAGCTGTTGAAAGCTCTCTCTCTCTCTCTCTTTTGAATTCCCTTCTTTGAGTTATTCTTCTCCTATTCTCTTATCTTCTCCTCTTCTCTTTTTCAATTATTGTTTGTTAATTTCTCATTAAACCTAGGACAGATTGTAGTCCTATTCGGCTATTTGTGGGGACCACATCAGTGTTCTCTACACTCCCCCTCAAGTTGGGAATAGATGTTTGTCATTCCCAACTTGCATAGATCTGCCTCTAACTTCTTCTTTGAAACAACTTTGGTGAGAAGATCTGCAAGTTGCATGTTGGAGGTGATGTATGGAAGAGACACTTCTTGAGATGCAACCCTTTCTCTAATAAAATGCCAGTCCACTTCAATATGCTTAGTTCTATCATGTTGTATCGGATTATGAGCTATATTAATAGCAGCCTGATTATCACAATACAGCATTAAGGGCTTCTCATAAGCAATACCCAACTCCTCAAGTAGTGATTTCAACCATAGTATTTTAGCCACACCATTTGCCATGGACCTATTATATTCAGCTTTAGCACTGGAACGAGAAACAACATTTTGTTTCTTACTCTTCCAAGAGACAAGATAACCTCCTACAAAAGCACAATATCCAGAGGTAGACCTTCTATCATCAACACACCTAGCCCAGCTAGCATCTGTGTAAACTTCCATCTTCATGTGACCATTACCCTTGAATAGCACACCTCTGCCTAGACACCTCTTCAAATATGCCAATATCCTCCCAACTGCAAGTAGGTGAGTAGTTCTAGGAGAGTGTATATACTGACTAACAACATTGACTGCATAACTGATGTCCGGTTGTGTGAGACAAAGATAGAGGAGTTTTCCAACTAACCATTGGAACATAGCTTTATCTTCAAGGGGCTCTCCACCCTCTGCACTGATCTWGTGATTCTGTTCAATAGGTGTGTTAGCAGGCTTAACACCCAACTTTCTAGTTTCATCCAACAAATCAAGAACATACTTTCTTTGAGAAACAAAAATCCTATGCTTGGACCTAGCTACCTCAATACCCAAGAAGTATCGTAGCTCTCCTAGATCTTTTATCTCAAACTCTTGATGAAGGAGTTGCTTAAGAGACTCAATCTCACTGTTATCACTCCCTGTCACTACAATATCATCCACATATACAACAAGCAGCGCTAAGGAAGACTTTCTTAATAAACAAAGTGTGATCTAATTGAGCCTACAACCAAACTTCCGAGGGATTGTTTAAGTCCATACAAGGCTTTGTTCAGCCGACATACCTTATTTCTTGTTTCTGCACTATAAAATCCAGGAGGCAACTGCATGTAAACTTCTTGCAAGTCTCCGTTGAGGAAGGAATTTTTAAGATCCATCTGAAACAAAGGCCAGGAGTAACTGGTTGCAAGAGATAATAAAACTCTGATAGTGGTCATCTTTACTATTGGTGCAAAAGTCTCCAAGTAGTCTATACCTTATGTCTGAGTAAATCCCTTTGCAACGAATCAGGTCTTATACCTTTCAATGGAACCATCAGCATTATGCTTCACAGTAAACATCCATCTACATCCAATTGGTTTCTTCCCTTTAGGTTGATCAACTAGCTCCCATGTATTGTTTCTCAGAAGGGCATCCATTTCTACCTTCATTGCATCCTTCCACTCAAGAACTGACAAGGCTTCCTGCATTGTTCTAGAAATGGGAATATCAGCAATTGATGCAAGAAAGGACTTGTAAGAGGGAGACAGATAGTCATAAGACAAGAACTGGGAAATGCAGTGGGCTGTGGATGTGGTGTAATGGCGTTAGCCTTTACAGACCGCAATGGGGAGGTCAAGGTCATCCAATGGAGGTGAGGGATCAACAAAAGGTGGTTAAGGCTCAACAGTAGAAGGTATCTCATCAGTAATATCAGATAAAGGAACTGTGGTACTTGGATCTAGATTTGCATAAGGAATTGGGGTTGGCCTGGAGTGCTGATAATTGAAATCAACCTACCTCCATCGTCTTTGGTAGACTCTCAAATCCCGACACCTCTGACAACCCTCCCCATTACATCCCTCTTCACTCAATGGGACAGGTAAAGGAACTTCTGATGAGTTAACCCCAACCTCACTAATCTCCCTCTGAGGAGAGATCCTAGGATAATAGGGTACATCCTCAAAGAAAGTGACATCCATAGAGACAAATCTCCTCCCAGAAGTGGGTTCATAGCAGCAATATCCCTTTTGAGTTTGTGCATAACCAAGGAAAATACATTTTGAGGCTTTAGGGTCACATTTGGAACAATGAGGGCCAAGAGTCTGAACAAAGCAAGTACAACCAAAGGTTTTAAGGGGAACGATAAACAACTCTTTATCAGGATATAAAAGAATGAATGGAGGTTTCATGTCAAGAACCCATGAAGGAATTTGGTTAATGAGATATACCGCTGTAAGAATGGCATCTCCCCAGAAACGTATAGGCACATTGGAGTTAAACATGATGCTTCTAACCACCTCTAATATGTGCCTATTCTTTCTCTCAGCAACCCCATTATGTTGAGGTGTATGAGGACAAGTACTCTGATGGATAATCCCATGGTCAAGCAAATAAGAGGCTAATGGTTTTGCAAAGTACTCTTTTACATTATCGGATCTAAAAATTTTGATTTTGACCCCAAATTGGGTTAAAATCATCTGATGAAAGATTCGGGTCAAGGTAGGAACCTCATCTCGAGAACGCATAAGGTAAACCCAAGAAAAGCGGGTATAGTCATCAACAAACAACAAGAAATATCTGTACCCCCCATAGCAGTGATGTGATAAGGTCCCCAAACATCGGTATGCACAATGTCAAAAAGAATACTACTTTTATTACTCAATGAATAGGTTGTTCTACAATGTTTTGCAAGCTCACAACTTTCACATCTCAAATTGGACATCTGGACAAACTCAAACAAACTAGGAAACAAACTTTTCAAAGACCTAAAGATATATGGCCCAACCTGACTAATAGACTGAGAAACAAAAGACCTCCTAGTTTCACTATCTTCCCAGTGAGAGCTCCCTCCAAGCAGATAGATTCCATTCGTCTCACGGCCAATCCCAATCACCTTCCTTGTCTTCAAATCCTGAAAAACACATTCAATCAGGGAAAAAATTCACTAAACAATTTTGGTTTTTAGTAATGCTATTAATTGAAAGCAAATTAGTACTAAATTTAAGAATATGCAAAACTCAAGACAAGGAAATGGAATTAGACAACTTGATGTCTCCTTTGCCAGAAATGGGAACAAGAGAGCCATCAACAATAAACACTTTGTCTCTGCCAGAAGATAAGTGATAGGTAGTAAACAGTGAGGGCAAGCCAATCATATGATCAGATGCACCTGATTCTATCACCCAACGGTGTTCAGTGTTACCTGGAGCTGAAGCATGATAAACTGAGGCCCATGTACCTGAATGAGCAAAAGCTGAGGTGGGAGGAGCTGATGACAGTGCTGACGGCTGAGATGATGGTGCTGAATTACCAACTTCACTCTCCAACTGAGTTAGAGCAGCCCAGACAGCAGATAGAGTGTCGAGTGATGTGCCTCTTGTGCCCGATGAGGTTGCACAATCAGTAGTAACAGTCACATTGACATTTCTCTTTTTGTTTCTGAGTTTTGCTGAGATGGGGATGCAACTTCCAACAGGTGTCTTTAGTATGCTTAGGTTTCTTTCAATGTTCACATTACTAGGTCCCTCTTGTCCCTCTTTTTCATACCCCTCTCCTTATCACCCCAGACTTAGGTTTAACTGCTACCAAGGCTGATTCAAAGGGTTGATGCTGCAACATAACTTTTGTCCTACTCTCTTCACTGTGT